ACTGACCCCATGAGTCATCCTCTGACCTTCACGCATGTCCCATAGCATATGCATGCCCACCCCCCATACACACATATGTCCCATAGCATATGCATGACCACCCCCCATACACACATATGTCCCATAGCATATGCATGCCCACCCCCATACACACATATGTCCCATAGCATATGCATGACCACCCTCCAAACATGTGTCCCATAGCATATGCATGCCCACCCCCCATACACACATATGTCCCATAGCATATGCATGACCACCCTCCAAACATGTGTCCCATAGCATATGCATGCCCAGCTTCCATACATATATATGTCCCATAGCATATGCATGCCCACCCCCCATACACACATACATCTTATAGCATATGTATGCCCACCCCAACACCAAGGGCCAACAGTTTAATCCTTCCCTTGTACCCACTTTCATTTCTCTTGCCCTTCTATTACTCCACAGCACGTGTTTGCTCAAAATTCAGCTGGTTTTTTTTTTAATTTAAGCCCAATCCAGTATCAATCTACTCCAAGTCTGTGCAGTTGTATACAGCTGGATAAAACAAATCTTCACTTTGAAAGCTGCACCATAATCTTTAATGACTCCAAATATCCCAGTATCAGCCACCTCTCCCTCGTTAGTTCATTACCTTAGACACTAAATGACTCTTCCTTCTGTTATCTCTAGACCTCCAATGCCCTTGCCTGCAGCCACAGGACTCACCGAAAGAACAGACACAATCAGAAGAGAGTTGTGTCTGCTTAGGATGAATGTCCTTTCCTAACGCCATGACAAACTGGCCCTGTGCCTGCATGGCCACTCCAATCCCATCCCTCTTGCTAGCATGGATCTGCTTTCACCACTGCCCCCCTCCACTGGTAATTCTCATCTCGGTCTGCATTCTGACCTCATAACTCTTACCTGATTTCTCCAACTGAATGACTAAGTGTCTCATCCCTGATGTGCACACAGCGGGCTTAGTCCCCTCCTCTCTCCCATACCCTCCCCTTTGCAACTCTGCACGAGCTACCAATGACATCCTCCGCCATCTTAGAGTTTACCAAAACCTTAGGTCATCCTTAATACCCCCTCACCCCACATCAAAATCATCTGCAAGTCTCTCTGTGTCTCTCTCTCTCTCTGCTTTCTGTGTCTCTCTGTGTCTCTGTCTCTCTCTGTCTCTCTCTCCCTCTCCCTCTCTCCCCCTCTCTCTCTGGTACTGGGATAGACCCCAGGACCTTGGGCATGCCAGGCAAGCAGTTGTACTATTGAGTTACAGCCCAGTTCTTCACAGAGGCCTAATTATTCCATCCTCACACTGATGGGAACCATCCCGCCCATTTCCCTCCATTCCCAGTGCCACCTCCACTCTCTGGGCTCTGGCTTGGACTAATCCAAGAGTCCAAACAGCTTCCCTGCTTCCACTTTTGCCCTCTTTCTATCGATCCTCAGCAGAGGAATTGGAGCAAATTTTCCTGGTGGTGGTGTTTGTTTGTTTTAAAACAAAAGCCAAGTTTCTCTACTTGAAATCCTCTACCATCTGTCCTTTGCAGAATAAAGTCCAAATGCCTCACCATGCCCACAAGGCCCTAGAGCCCTTTCTTCCTCTCTGTCCACTCTAGAACACTACCCTCCCGGTTCCTATCCCATCATTTGAGATTCTTTTGTATGAGGAAATCTGTCCTCTTCTGGAATGTTCTTTCCATACATCCTCACATGTCCACCAGCCTCCACACGTTCTCTCCCCAGAGAGATTGTGAACTTAAAGACTGCCTTCCCCTCCTGGGCTGGTGACGGAGTTCAGTGGCAGAGCACACACCCACCATGTTCAGGCTCCTAGGTTCAAACCCCAGCACAGAAAGAAAGGCAATGCCTTGCCCTTTGCCCTTCATTCAGTACTGGCCTGGTTTCTCAGGGAGCCCTCCTTCGATGAGCTCAGACCACGTCACCTACTCCTCTGCTCACCGTCTAGTTCTCCACAGTACTGGGTGGCCCGGAGCCTAGAGCCACGCCAGCCACAGAGACGGTGCTTAAAGTACACAGAGAATTAACGAGTTACTCATACGGTAAAAATCAAAGCCTGGAGAGTGGCTTGGTGCTTAGCAGCACTCGCTGCTCTTCCAGAGGACCTGAGTTCAGTTCCCAGCACCCACATTGTGTGATCACAACCACCAGGGAACCTAATGGCTGTCTCAGGCCTCCTCTGGCTGCCCCACTCACCCGCACATACTCTACACAGATATACATACACGCATAATTAAAATTAGTGTTTTTTTTAAACTCAAACTGATTTAAAGATACTTCACAGAAAACAATGAGAAAGACCATAATGGCAATAAGGAGAGTCGTTCCGAGGGGAGCATCTACAGTCATACCCTCTTATTATAATGTCATACTGTTGCTACAGTTCAAAATGGCCTGCCAGGTATGGTGGTTCACACCCTGATCCCAGCACGGAAGAGACAGAGGCAGGCAGATCTCTATGACTTCCAGGACTGGGCTATACAGACCCTGACACGCGCTGTGGAGCAGGCGAGGCGGCAGGAGCAAGCAGTCAGCTTGGTCCAGGTTTTCTCAGTCCGGGCCAGTCAAAACTGGGTGAGGCTCTGTCAGCACTACAGTGCCGTTTTGTTCTCAGACGAGATGCAGAGGGAAAGCAGCTGCATCTGGGAGCTGGCCTGGGACTGACTAGGCCTTCCTCCATGTTCTCTTCTTTCTTGCCTTAGTGTATTCTTTTTTTAAAGTTTTGTTGTTATTGTTGTTGCTGTTGTTATATTTATTTTTTAGTGTGTGTATATGAGCATGTGTGTGTGTTTGAGTGTGTGCGCACGTGTGTGTGTACATGTGCTATGGTGCAAGTATACAGGCCAGGGACCAACTTCAGGGAGTCAGTTCTCTTCTTCCACCACGCTGAATCCTGGGGACTGAACTCAGGTCATCAGGGTTAGCATCAAGTGCCTTTACCTGCGGAGCCATCTCGACAGCCCACATTTTGGTTGATTCCTGGAATCAGAGACCTTCTTCATGGTCCGAGCTGACCTCACACTGCGGTTCTCCTGCCTCAGTGTCCACACCAGCTGTACATAACAGCAACGAAGCCACTCTGCGGGGGACACGAATCAGGACACGCAGAAGGCTCTATGATGCTATCCGCACAGACAGGCCTGAGGGCTCTGCACCACACACTGAGCACCACTGCTTACTAGCTAATGCTTCTTTCTCCCTTAGCCCTGCCTCTTCCTTTGTCTAATCTCCCTAGAGGCGAGATCCATAAAGTGCTGAATCACAGACCTGCCCTTATTCTGGCAGTTTTGCTCATGGTTGACTCCCCAGAACACTCCACGTCTGCCACTGCAAGCTGAATTCCACCACCAGGTCTTCAACGCTGTCTTCCAGAGACCTGCACACAGTGTGTCCCCTCCCTCTCTGCAATGAGAAATGGGGGTCCAGCGTGATTACAGGTGTGTTCTGATTGTGTGTGGGCAGTGATAGCTGGTCATGGCACCACTGCCAGCCCAGGCCACTGCCCAGGCAGAAGTCACAGGGCCTGCTAGGGAGTTGATGCTGGCTCCCCTACCTAAAAACTTGAGGGAAAGGCCCAGGCAGTGAAACATCACGGAGTGTAATGGCACGGTTAATCCCACATGCCCTGCACAGCTTCCCTCCCGCCCAGCTCAGGGCAGACCCTGAGGCAGCACTACACGAGCACCTCAAGTCACAGGTTCAAGCCCAATAAATTAGCCCAGGCTTAAAGAAGTCAAGATGTACCCATGTAAGGATTTTAATAAGCTTGGGAAAGGCTACCTGGAGCTATGTACAGCTTACCGTACCAGTGAGGTGCCCTGCCACAGAACACCGAGACCTGACAAGCGCTGTGGAGCACGCAAGGCGGTAGGAGCAAGCAGTCAGCTTGGTCCAGGTTTTCTCAGGAACTGGGGACTTACGGCAAATGGCTGGCAGCCAGATGACAGACGAAGAGAACAGGGCAGGCAACTCCGCAAAGCCAATGGCATTTACCAGGAAGACATGCCAAGGGTTCCTTCAGTGGGAATCTGGTGCTTGCACACCCTTGCAGAAACCGGCAAACACTGTAATCAATGTCTGCCCTGTAATCGATGCCTGTTTGTACTCAGAAGCATGGAGAGCAAAGCAAACATGGGCTCTGACTGCTAGATGCCAACGCCTAACATAAATAAAAACAAGAAATCTGTCCAAAGGATTACTGAAGTAACTGAGCAAACACGAGCTAGTCAAAAGCATTGACCGTACACGAACGCAGTGGAGGAGTCATGAAAGCTAAGTCATGGGAGATGACTCTCTGAACAGGGTGCGGCCCAAATGGAACAGTTACCTGGTAAGGCTGAGTCTCCCCGGGGGAGGTCAGATTTTGAGAAAATGTCCAAGGGCTGGATAGCAGGCTAGGAGCTGGCCGGGAAGGGGAAGAGGTGCAGCATAGGAGAGGGTTTAGAGACAAAACACAACTATGAGCTGTTGATTTTTTTAAGTGCCCTGAAAAAGTAGAGAAAGCAAGCAGACTGTGCCTCTCACCTGGCCTCCTGCATACCCCTTCTAGTACACAGAAAAACACTCATGTCCTCATTTAGAATTACTCAGAAAAAGACGATCTTACCCAACCCCAAATCAAAGCTACAGTGGCCTCAGAATCTGATATTCAATCATTCTCATTCTCGGGGGCAAGGTCATTAACTGGAGTCAGGCTGGAACTCACCATGTAGTCCAGGCTAACCCTGAACTCACAATCCTGTCTCAGTTTCTCCAATGCTAGGATTCCAGGTCTACACCACCATGCAGAGCTGATTTCTAAGCAACAGAAAGCCAACCCCTCCCCCAGAGCTCGGACGGCCCGAGTCAGCAGGACAATCTCGTCAATGAATTCATAAGGAAGAGAGGGTGTGGTCCAAGCGCACACGGCACCAGACAAGCAGTAGTCACAGAAACATAACAGGGCAACTGACAAAAACCGAGCCGGGCACATCAGGAATTACCTGATTAAAATTTTTGAAGGTGAACTCTTTGTAGATGGCGTCTCTGTCGCTTAATTCTGACCATCCTGCTGCCTTCAGGCCAGGAATAAGTTCGCTCCTCTCCTCTGCTGTCAGCCACTGCACATTTGAAGACTAGGAAGAAAACACAATTCCTGTCTGAAAGGGTCGGCATTTATTTAAACTCTTTCCAAAAACTTATACTTCTTATGAAGCAATATAGAAAAAAAGTCTCAAAGGTAGCAAATTCTAGCCATCTCTCATTCGTTTACTAAAAAAGACAGGCAAACTCTGTGTGGGCTGTCCAAAAGGATGGCTGGGGATCTGTGCCTGCTCCTGAGTGCCTGCCTCAGACTACTACTGCCACCGGCCTTCTTAGACAAACACATCAGAAGTCCAGAATGTGCAACTGAGGCAGAACCAACTCTCCAGAGAGGCTGCTGAAAGGATCAGGCCGGCAACTCAGGGCTTTAACCCTGTTCTGCCGCTCTTTGGATAGACTTCAGCATCTCCTGCCTCTGCAGCTCACTCAAGTGGGTTAAACTACTTGGGTTTTTTGTTTTTTTTGGTTGGTTTTGGTTTTTTGTTTGTTTGTTTGTTTGTTTGTTTTTCAAGACAGGGCTTTTTCTGTAGCTTTGGAACCTGTCCTGGAACTAGCTCTTATAGACCAGGCTGACCTCGAACTCACAGAGATCCGCCTGCCTCTGCCTACCGAGTGCTGGGACTAAAGGCATGTGCCACCACCCCCTGGCTGTCTATTCCCTTTTGTATAGAATGAAAACCCCACTACAGAGCAGAGACCAAGTGTGCATTCCCATGAAATTTTGTACAACCCCCTCTGGGGATTCACAGCCCCCTACCACAGGCAAAAAGTCCTTGCCTTTAAAACAAGAGCACCAGTGAAACACACTCCATGTGTCATGGGACCACTGGGAACATCTGGAGCTCCTGCCTGCACTGTCCACCTCATTCCTGCTCCCCAGGGACAGTCACAACTCAGCCCTTGTGCCATTCACCCTGTGCCTTCCTTTGCTAGCTAAAACATCAAACACTATGAACACAGCTTCTCATTCCAGCTTAAGCACCTACAGCCACCTCATGCCTCACCTTCTAGCGGGGTGACTGTAGGCTCTGGTGAGACCTTCTCAGCAAGACTCTCCCCTAAAACACTGAGCTAATGTCAAAGGCACTGGGGGAGGGGTGGAGCTGCAAGCTCCAGACTCTGTACATGAAGCTGCACCTCATTCCTACTTCCAGAATCCTCAAACTTTTTATCACAGACATCCAGACAGTTAGGAAAGCATAAGTGCTGGGCAGAGGTGGCGTACACCTTTAATCCCAGCACTTGGGGGGCAGAGGTAGGTGGATCTCTGTGAGTTTAAGGCCAATCCAGTCTAGAGAGTGAGTTCCAGGACAGCGAGAGATACATAGAGAAACCTTGTCTCAGGGGAAGAGAGAGAGAGCGGAAGCAAGAGCGAGAGAGAGAGAGAGAGAGAGAGACAGAGAGAGAGAGAGAGAGAGAGAGAGAGAGCAGGAGGCAAAGGTAGGCAGATCTTCGAGGTCAGCCTGGTCTACAGAGTGAGTTCCAGGACAGCCAGGATTACTCAGAGAAACTCTTTCTCAAAAAGAAAGGGGGAGGGGGGAAACTAAGTAATTCAAAATAAGTATTTAATGCTAAGAATTAATAGCTGGGGAAGGGGTGCTGGAGAGATGGCTCAGTGGTTAAGAACACTAACTGCTCTTCCAGAGGACCCAGGTTCAACTCCCAGCAACCACAGCAGCTCACAACTATAACTCCAGTTTTGTTTTTGAGGACCCGAAACTTCCCATGGCAAAACAATGAGGCACACAAAATCAAAATAAAGAATAGCCAGGCACGCATTTATTCCAAGCACTTGTGAGAAAGGCAGGTGGATCTCTAAGTCTGAGGCCAGCCTGGTCTACAGAGCGAGTTCCAGGACTGGGGGAAAAATAGCTCTGAAATGTTTCTCTGTCGGGTGTTGTTTTACTCTTTTGGCTTTTAGGGGGGCCCGCCACCCATCTCCCAATAAATCACATATGGAGGTTTAATCTTAGTTATGAATGTCCAGCCTTAGCTTGGCTTGTTTCTAGACAGCTTTTCTTAACTTGTGTTATTCCGATTACTTTTTGCCTCTGGGCTTTTATCTTTCTCTATTTCTGTATACCTTTCTTTAATTCTTTCTTCATGACCTGACTGTGTAACTGGGTGGCTTGGCCCCCGGTGTCCTCCTCTCCTTGTCCTCCTTTTATTTATTCTGTCTGACAGCCCCGTCTGTCCTTGCTCCTGCCTCTCTATTGGCTGTTCATCTCTTTATCGGGACCATCAGGTGTTTTAGACAGGCACAGTAACACAGTCTCAGAGTTAAACAAATGCAGGCAAACAAAAGTCACACACCTGAGAACAATATTGCCCAACATCTCTCTCTTTCTCTCTGTCTCTCTCTGAGTGATATAAGTTCTCACTAGCCCAGACTGACTGTGAGCTCATGTCAACTGTCCTGCCTCAGCCCCTCAGTGCTAGAATTACAGATATATACTGCCAAATTCACTGAGTTCTGAAATTTTTCACACAAAGGTCTGCTGTAGGATAATCTTCCTGTACATTGTGAATATGATGCTCTCATTAGTTGATAATAAATGCTAAATTGGCCCATAGCCAGGCAGAATACAATTAGTCAGGAAAGCCAAACAGAGAGACAGAGAGAAGGGTGGAGTCAGGGGAGAGATGCGAGCCAGTGGCCAAAAAGCAAGAAGCCAGCAAACTGGTAAAAGCCATGGCCACGTGGTAATGCATAGATGAATAGAAATGGGTTAACTTAAATGTAAGAGCTAGTTAGTAATAAGCCTGAGCTATAAGTCAAACTGTTTATAATTAGTATTACACCTCTGAGTGGTTATTTAAAAGCAGCTGCAGGGCAGAGAAACCTCCATTCACAAAGGAACTACAGGAAACAAGCCAAACTGTCAAACACCTCTGTTTGCTTTTCACAGGAACTTGTCGGCAAGGAAGACTATGAAATACACTATGGACGAGGCCATTGTCATCCAGCAGCTGTAGAGGTGCTGTTTTTCTCTGGTGCTGGGCTCTCCACAACCCATGGAGACCAAAAGCATTCAGGCTGGCTCATAAAGATGTCCACCCAGCAACAGAGATTGCAGTCAGTGTTGTTTTGGGGTTTTTGTTTGTTTGGGTTTTTTTTTTTATTCTTTGTTCTTTGAGTGACTTTACTATTTGGGACCCACCACCCAGTTCTCAAATAATCACACTGAGACTTTTTCCTACTTATGAATGGCCAGCCTTAACTTGGCTTATTTCCAGCTACTTTTTCTTAACTTAAATTATCCCATATACGTTTTGCCTCTGGGCTTTTACATTTTCCTATTTCTGTATATCTTTTCTTTCCTTCTTATTCTGTGGCTGGCTGTGTGGCTGGCCCCTGGCATCTTCCTCTCCTCCTTTTCTCAATCCACCCCTTTTCTTCTTTTTCTCCTTGTATTTATTCTCTCTTCCTGGCAGCCCCACCTATCCATCTCCTATCAAGCTATTGGCCATTCAGTTCTTTATTAGACCAATCAGATATATTTTGGCAGGCAAAGTAACACAGCCTCATAAACAAATGTAACATAAAAGAATCCAACACATCTTTGCACATAAACATATCTTGAATTACTACTCCACAAGTCAGGACTGTGAAATGGGGCTAATTCAACTACATAACACTAATGGCCCCCAAAAGACATACCCTCAGCAGAACCCTTTGGAGGGGGGGCTAATATGGTTTATTTTTTTAAAGATTTATTTACTTTTTTTTCTTGAGACAGGGTTGACAGGCTTTCTCTGTGTAATAGCCCTAGCTGTCCTGGAACTCACTTTGTAGAAAAGGCTGGCCTCAAACTCACAGAGATCTACCTGCCTCTGCCTCCCCAGTTCTGGGATTAAAGCTGTGATTTATTTACTTTTATTTTATGTGTTTTTCCTGTGTATGGGTGTATACATACGTGTGTGTGTGTGTGTGTGTGTGTACATGCACTATGTGCATACATGTTACTAACTGACGCCAAAAGAGGACATCAGATCTCCGGTACTGAAGTTACAGATGGTTGTGAGTCATCCTATGAGGCACTGGAGTAGAACCCAGGTCCTCTGCAAGAGCAGCAAGTGATCTAAACTGCGAGGTAATCTTCCCAGCCCCCAGCACAGTCCCACAGTAACCAGGGAATGTTTTTCCTAAGTATGGAGGGAAACCTGATGCAGCACAGGACCTGCGGAGGATAAACGGTTACCTTTGTAACTTTGTACTGCTGTCTGCTACACTTGGCCAGTCTGGGTTCTAGGGATCTTGGGTCTATCTATAGCAGGGATATTACAGTATCAAAATACCAAGATCTTCTTTGTTTATTTTGGTTTTGAAAGACTTAAAGAGATCTTTCCTTGTACACCTTAATTTCAGCACTGAGGAGGCAGAGGCAGGTGAATCTGTGTTTAAGACCAGCCTGATCTATGTCCCCATTGCAAAACTCAAAGAAAGCCAGAGTGGTGAGGGAGAGGCAGGGTTGAAAGGAGGGGGGAAAACAGAGACCTTGAATGTGATGGTGCCCAACAGACTCTGGCTCACTCTGTCCCAGACACCATGATTTCCTAAAACGAGCAGCTCTTTGGGTAGGAGTATGCCTTGAGACACACCTAGGTGACAACAGTCAAAACGTGTAGAATTCTGTGTTAAAGAATTTCACAGCCAGGGTGGTGGCACGTGCCTGTGTGCTCAGCACTGGGGGGGGGGGGGGGGAGACGGGGATAGAAGCGGAAATGTGTAACAGCCTTTCTTTTGGGCCACCAATCAGCTCCCAAATCACGACACAGAGACTTATTAGCTGTGAATGCTCAGTCTTATCTTGTGCTTGTCCCACCAGCTCTTATAACTTATATTGGCCCATTTCTCTTCATCTACGTTTCGCCTCGGGGCTTTTTACCTTTCTTTCTCATTCTGTATGTTCTACTTTCCTGCCTCCTCCATGTCTGGCTGGAAGCTGGCTGACTCCCTTGTTCTCCTCTCTTCTCTTCTATTTATTCTCTCTGCCCGCCAGCCCCGCATATCCCTCTACTGCCTAGCTATTGGCCATTCAATTTGTTAGACCAATCAGGTGCCTTAGGCAGATAAGGAGAAACAGCCACACATCTTTACATAACTAAGCAAATGCAGCATAAACAAAAGCATCTTTACATATTCCACAACACGCCTGTATCCAGAGTTCAAGGTCAGCCTTAGCTTCATAAGACCTAACTCATCAAAAACAAACAAAATGATCTAATCTACACAGGCAGTAGAAAAAGACAAGGTCTCCTGAGTAAATAGGAAGTGTGGGGATCATGGGAGAGGGCAAAAGGGGAGGGGGCAGGAGGGGAGCAGAGAAAAACATATAGCTCAATAAAAACAAAATAAAACAAAACAAAGAAAGGGAACAAGTGGGGAAGGGCACATAGGAGAATATGTTTAGTGTACCTGAACACACACATACACACTTGTATAAAAATTATTTTAAATAAATTATTAACTTAAAAAAATTATGTTAACTAGCCAAATGCAATAACTAGTCCTGAATTACAGCAGAAAAAAATTTCTAAGTCATTAGTCAAAAACAATGGACGTTATCAGCAGTAATTTTCTGACTTCAACAATTCTACTGTGCAATATAAGAAAAATTATTTGTTTTAGGTAATTAATTATAGAAATTTTACAGGAATATAAATTATGTCTATGACTTATTCATAAAAAAAATTTCAACCGGGCTCTCATAAGCTCCTGAAACGAAATGGTGAGCTTCATACTACATTCTCCACTAGATGGCGCTGGTGTTAAATCTTCCCCTCAATCCTCTCTCCCTCCAGCTTACCCTTCCAACCCCTCCCAGAGGATCTCGCTGCGCTCGCTCCTCCGAGCTCCCAGCACGCCCCGCCCGGTACCGCCCGCAGCGCAAGGAACGGCCACGGCCCATCGGCTTTGCCACTAATCTTCATATTTAGAATGTTTTTTTTTTTCTACACGAGATTGTTTCCTGTGAGCAAGCTCATAAACTACCACGGAAGTTGCTCGGGGTGTTTTGTTTTGCGGCAGGTGCCACCCCGCAGCCGTGGCTGGCCTCGAACTCACGCGCGTCCTCCAGCCTCTGCCTGCCCAGGGCCGGGGCGCGAGCGAGCGTGCGCACGGCGCTCCGTCGAGGTGACGCGCGGGAGCCGCGGGGGTGCGCGCGCAGCCGCCCCCTCCCGGCCGCAGGCCCGTTCTCCCGCACCGGCCGCACTCACCATGGCCGCCCGGCTCGCACCCCGGCCGCCCAGCGCCGCCAACCCCCTCAGGGCGCCGCGCGCTCGCACCGCCACCGCCATGGCCCCGGGCTGCCCGGCGCGCTGCCTGACGCGGCCCAAGCCCCGAAGGCCCCCGGAGCGGGGTGGCCGCCGCGCCCGCGGGTGCTGGCTGCAGCCTGAGCTCCCTCCGCCGGGCGAGGGGACGCTGGCGGGAGCGCCTCGCGGTCCGTGGGCCACCCCTCCGCGCTCGGTGGCCTTGGCTTCTGCAGCGACTTTGCCGCACGCACAGGTGCAGCACCCCGGAGCGACCCGAGACCGAGGGACCGGCTGAGACAAATTGCCTCCCGTGCATTGAGACGTGTTCTTTTATATGCCATATGTGTGTATATTAATTTTTATTATTCTTTTGCCATTTTTTCCCCTTGGGATGTAATTGACAATAAAATTTACTCTTTAAAATGGTGTGTGGGGCCAGGGTTTTAACACTGTGGTAAGTTTTGATTAAAATGTTGCTGCGGATTTTAGTTCAGCGTGTATCCTTTTTGTTTGGTTTGGTTTGGGTTTTTTAGGCAGGGTTTCTCTGTGTAGACTCGGCTGTCCTGGAGCTCACCCTGCAGACCAAGCTGGCCTCGAACTCAGATCCGCCTGCCTCTGCCTCCTCAGTGCTGGGATTAAAGGAATGTGCCACCATGGGCTGGTCACCTTTTTCTTTTCTTTTTTTTTTTTTCTTCCTTAAACTAAGTGACTTTATTGTATTCCTTTCTTGAGACAGTTTCGCTTCTCGGTACAACATTGTCGAGGCTGGCTTTGAACACCTACCTCCACCTTCCAAGAGCTGAGGATTACGGACAAACCCAGGTCCGTTATTTTTTTCTAAATTAACACATTAATATTATCAGTTTGCCAGGCTTGGTGCCAGAACTCTAGAGGCAGAAGTAGACAAATCGCTAGGAATTAGAAGCCAGTCTGGGCTACATAGTAAGACGCTGTCTGAAAAAGTGCATATTTTATTTTCATCAATTTTAAGGAGAATTTGGCAAAAGGATATACATACTAAACAGTTCATTTAAGACTTATTTCACAGGGCTGGAGAGATGACTCAGCAGTTAAGAGCACTGGTTACTCTTCCAGAGGTCCTGAGTTCAATTCCCAGCAACGAGATCTGGTGGTCTCTTCTGGCATGCACGCATATGTGCAGGCAAAACTATATACAAAATAAATCTTTATTTTTAAAAAAAAAGACTGATTTCACAATTGTTAGCAGTCTTATATCCCAAATGGACTTAGAAAATATAAAACCAGCCGGGCGATGGTGGCGCACGCCTTTAATCCCAGCACTCGGGAGGCAGAGGCAGGCAGATCTCTGAGTTCGAGGCTAGCCTGGTCTACAAGAGCTAGTTCCAGGACAGGCTCCAAAGCCACAGAGAAACCCTGTCTCGAAAAACCAAAAAAAAAGAAAGAAAATATAAAACCTCAAAATAGCCTAAAATTTAGTCTTGACCCGCTTTTTGCCTGAATGACAAGATATAACAATCTGGAAAAGAAAAACTGGGAGTAGTCTGAGGGCGTCACTGACTACAGCACTCGGGGCAGTCTGAGGACAGGACCGCCTCTTCGGTCTGAGCATTGGTAGAGGAAGGGTCTCTCTAGTGCTGGCCGCTCTGCTTCTCTGATCTTCAGCTGTAACCCACTAATATCTGACTCCAGGTTTTACTTATTAAGACTAACTAGAATTCGTGCTACTACAGAAAAAGAAACTAAAAGTCTTGTTTCTAGTATTTTACTGGATGCTTATGATCATGGAAAATATTCTTGAAATTTGCATGTTAAAGTGAGGATCCCTGCAGGGCGTGTGGCACTCACCTGGAATCTCAGCATCGGGAGGACAGGCAGCCGGGTTTGAGGTTTGACAGCAGCCTGGCCTACACATTGGAAGAGGAGGAGGGAGGGAGAAGCTGAGAACAGAAAATGAATTGGTAGCTGTGTGTTAACAAAGTAGAGGTGCATCTTTTCCCTCCTTACACCTGTCTGGACCATGGCATCCCAAGTGTAGCTATAAAGCAGCAGGAGAAAGGTGCTAGGGCCTAGGAAAGTGACATCATCATCCAACAGAGGCACTGTTGAGTGCTGTTCTTGTCCAAGAAGCTCCCAGGTGGGCCCTGAAGCTGGCTCAGCAGGTAACGGTTCTTTCCAGCCAAGCCTGCTGACCTAAGTTTGGTGCCCAGGACCCACTGGTGGCAGGAGAGAGCTGTCGCCACAAGTTGTCCTCTGAGCTACACACAGACACAAACACACTTTTAATTGTTTTGATTTTTTTAATTTTTTAAAAAGACTCTCAGGCCAGGCGGTGGTGGTGCACGCCTTTAATCCCAGCATTTGGGAGGCAGAGGCAGGTGGATCTCTGTGAGTTCGAGGCCAGCCTGGTCTACAAGAGCTAGTTCCAGGATTGGCTCCAAAGCAACACAGAGAAACCCTGTCTCAAAAAACCACAAATTAATTAATTAATTTTAGAAAAATACTCTCAGGTCTGAAGCAATGGTTCAGAGGTTAGGGGCACTTTCCTGCTCTTACAGAGGACCTGGGTTCTATTCCCAGCACCCAAATGGCAGTTCACAACCGTCTGTAACTCCAGTTCCAGGAGATCTGACGCCCTCCTCTGGCTTCCAGTAGACCAGGCACACACATGGTGCACATACATGCAGGCAAGACATCCATACATATAAAAAATAAAGTTCAAAAATAATTATTTATAAAAGCACCCAGATTAATAAGATTTAAGCCCCTAAGCAAAGATTTGCTGGGGGCTTCTCTGTGGTGGACGCCACGCTTGGCTTGTGATGACGGGACCAATCTTGAGTGGCTCCTCCACCTCCTCCCCTTCACCCCAGCTTTCTGACTAATGTCCATTTCTCCTCTCCAGGCAACAAACAGCCTTGTTCTGCGTTCCCTCCAGGGGACCCATGTAGGTAGTTTGAGTTAAGTGTTAGAAGCAAAGCCAATGGTCTGCTAGGAATCTGGTCACCCTCTCTCACACTCCCTAGACTGCAGATTGGAATAGAGCCTCCCATTGTGGTGATCTGAATAAGAATGGCCCCCATAGGCTCATAGATTTGAATGCTTGGTCACCAGGAAGTTGCACTATTAGAACATGGTGGGGGAGCTTGTTGCAGTGGGTGTGGCCTCATTAGAGGAGTGTGTTGTGGGATATTTTTCCACTGTGTGAAAATGTACTGCTGTGATTGGTATAAAAGCTGGACAGCCAATAGCTGGAAAGAGGTTACATGGGACTTCTGGGCACAGAGAGGACTCCGGGGACAGAGAGGACAGAGAAGAAAAGCAGAGTCACCAGCCAGACATGGAGAGGAGACAGGAGTTGCAGGATGGAAGAGGGGTGATGCCATGTGGCAGAACACAGATTAAATAAGAGCTGGTTAAGACAGCCTAAGCTAAAGGCCAAGCTCTCGCAATGAACAGGTCTCCATGTTGGCAGACCAGAGGAAAGCCTGATGACAGAGGTGTGTCACTGGGGGTGTGCTTTGGGGCTTCAAATGGGACCACCTCTCCAGCTCCATATCCCCTTCTCCAGGTCTGCCTCTGTGCTGCCATGCTTCCTGCCATGATAATGCACCAAACCTCTGAACTGTAAGGCACCCCACTTTCCTTTATAAGAACTGTCATGGTCATGGTGTCTCTTCACAGCAATGGACACTGACTAAGACATGGTCTCTTTGGGGCTGGGGAGAGCAATTCAGGACATTCACTGGCTGCTCTTCTAGATGCACTGGATTCAAAAAACAAAACAATAAAAGGATTTTATATTTTATTTTTTTTAAATCTTTTTATTATATTTATTTATTTATTTATTATGTATACAATATTCTGTCTGTGTATATGTCTGCAGGCCAGAAGAGGGCACCAGACCTCATTACAGATGGCTGCGAGCCACCATGTGGTTGCTGGGAATTGAACTCAAAACCTTTGGAAGAGCAGGCAATGCTCTTAACCACTGAGCCATCTCTCCAGCCCAGGATTTTATATTTTAAAAGGATATGTTTCTTTTTGGTTTGTATTCTGAGACAGGGTTTTTCTGTGTAGCCCTGGCTGTCCTGGAACTCACTCTGTAGACCAGGCTGGCCTCAAAATCACAGAGATCCACCTGCCTCTGCCTCCCGAGTACTGGGATTAAAGGTGTGCACCACCGTGCCTGGCCTAAAATCTCATTTTTAGAATGCTAATTCTCATTCCAGAAGATACTCCAAAGGAAATAAGAATACTATGATAATATCCAGATTAACAGACAAGTATGTTAAATTTATTTCAAAGCCTATTCTACACCTAAGGTTGAGAAAACTCCTGGGAGCCAGAAAGATGGCTCAGCAGGTAAAAATGCTTGCCCCCAAAGCTTGGCCACCTGAATTCAATCCCTGGGACCCACATCGTGGAGGGAGAGAACCGACTCCCACAACTTGTCCTCTGACCTCATCCTGTGAGCCATGACCCATGTGCCTGAGCACATACACACTAGATATGATGAAGGGAGAGGTCTTACAGTGTTCACAACAGGGAACTACTAATCATTTGATAAGCAAAATAAACAAAGGTGGTACGCCAGATGTGTGTGGTAGCACATGCCAGGAGCTAGAGAGGCACCCAGGGCTGAGGCAGCTGGAGACTTTGAGGCCAGTCTAGGTCACACCAAAGGCTGTCTCAAAAAAATCACAAAGATCAAATTTGCTTGCTGTGGTTTGAATGAGTGACACACACACACCCCGCCCTCCCACCCGCCCCCCGCCCCCGCCAGGGTATCTGGACACTTGGTCTCCATTTGGCAGTGCTGTCTGAGGGGTTATGGAACCTCCAGAGGGTGAGCCTGGCTGGAGGATGTGTCACTGCGGAGAGGTTTTGGGAGTCTGTGGCCTTGCCCCACTTCCAGTCCACTCTCTCCACTTGCTGTTTGCAGCTAAAAAGGCGATCTCTCACCTCCATATTCTCTGCCTCCCCAACATTCCCGACTCTCTCTGGAACCATAAGCCAAAAAAAAACACCCTTTCTTCCATATCTCACTTTGGGTTGGTTTATCACGGCGAAAGGTCCCTGACACAGTGCTGGATTCTGTTGTCACAGCAATACACTGGAGAAAGACCAGAGGTAAACACATCCAAAGGTCACTGGGGCCGGGGCAGAGAATAAGGCAGAGCCATTCCTCTAGGCTTGGAGCCACGTGTGGTGACACACACCTGGAATCTCATAGGAAGGGAAAGAGGCAGGAGGAGTCAGTCCAAGGCCAGCCTAAGCTACAT